ACACTGGCTTTATTTGATGTTTGTCTCAAAAAGATCAAGATAGTCAAGGGCAAAGCTGGCTGTAAGGAATGAAGTGATGGATTCATCCATTGTTTTCTCCTGCACTAGCAGGGCCCCGAGTGGTGCAAGCAGCTGACACACGCCAGGCACGAGGGGCTCTGTGGGCTCGGCAGATGTGCCCCACGCTCCTCATGCTGCCTGCTGGGCTCTGCTAAACTGGGCCTGACATGCCTTCCTGCTCTGGGGAGTCTTTGGGGTTGTGCTTGCCCATGGACATGTTTCATCCTCTGGAGGAATTAGGGAATTTGGAAAAGCTGAGGTCTGCAGCTGGGTAAAGGAAACTGGAGTGTGACCAAAGCAGTCAGATCAAAGTTAGGCAAAGAAGATGCTGGAGGTAGGAGGTAAAGAAGATCATATGGTTTGCTTCTGTCTTCCAAAAGAAAATGAGCCTAGGAAGGAAAAAATAAAACAGTGACATTGCCTGGATTCCTGAGCTGCTTTCCTAGGCACTCCAATAGCCTAGGCCAAAAAATATTTGAAGCTGTGAGTGCACTGGCTCCTGGTGCAAATGTGTCCACCTGGCCTTCAGAGCAGACTCACACTCTGACCCTTCCCTCCATGATGTGCACTAAATGAAATTGTGGCCTGGGCCCATCTTTAAGCAGTTTCTACTTTTGCAGTCCCACATCCTGACCTGGCAGTGTTGGAGCTGCCTGCCTCACAGTGGAGCAGCCCTGGCAGCATGAACTGCCCTGTGTTCATGATCACTGTGCTGTGAAAACCACCTGGAATAGGCTCAGGGTCACGGCTGCTTGTTTATAGTACATTGTCACTGCCAAAAAAAGACAAAAGGTCACCAAACAATAACCCAGCTGTAAAAGAAGGTTACAAATATGGACATGGGGGGTAGATAACTACAGGTTTCCTGTCATACACTTGCCACTCAGCTTGGAAAGTGTCCTGCAGAGCAAGATGCTGTGTGTGCCATGGGCAGCCTTTTCTGATCAGAAACTATTCAGTGGTTGAAAAACAATGAGTCTGCTTTTCTTAGTTTCTACAGGTCAGCACTAAGACACAAGGTCAGGGCTCATTTTTTTTAGTGGAAAACATGAAAAAGTGATGCCTGCAGCCCTGGGGTACTTCACATATCATACAGAGGAAGCTCTTGCAGGGATTTGAAAGTAAGTTTGAAAAATCAATTCAAAAATATAATCAATTGCATAGAACGAAGCTGTGGAAGCAAGTGAGAGCAAAAGGTTGTCAAAAGATCCTGGTATGTTAAAAAAACAGTCTGAATGCAGCTGCCTTCATGCTGTGACTGCCCTCCTGAAACAGTTCTCTGCAAGATTCATTGGGCAAAGGCTGAAATGTTATTTAGTTGTGCAATAACACCATAGCTGTGCCACAGCCACAGTTGTTGCCAGGTGGGTAAGAACAGTTGATTTGCATTAGATCCTGCAGGCACACTTTAGGCAGCATCTAATGGCTCCTGCCACTGCTGATTTTCTGCCCAGTTGTTGATCCCAGATGCAGCTCTGACAGAGGATGTACAGACACATTTAGGACTTTTTCTGTTCAGCTGCAGATGGGCTATGTGCTGTCCACATCAGAGGAGCTATGTGTGTCCTCAGAGTTGGATGGACTCAGCGGCAGCAAATGAAACCAGAAAACCTTGCTTTTTACAACAGCAAGAAGAGAGGAGAGGGAGAGGGAGAGGAGAGAATGACCGAAACTGGGTGCAACAACAGAAGGAGAGAAATGAAGCACTTAAGACAAAGCATAACTCAGTCTGTGACCTTCACACACGAAGCTTGGAAAGCTGCAGATGTACCTCGGGTCAGGCGGGGGTGACGCGGCTCCCGGCGATCACCCAGTGCCCTCTGCTGACATCAGACAGGAGCAGCCTCTGCAAGAGCCCGAGCGGTGTTAGCCGAGTTGCTCACAGAGATCCCGAGCTCTTAATTCCTCTGGCAGCACGAAACCGCAACAATTCCCCTCTGGGGAAAGGCTGTAACCACGCTGGCCTGTCCCTCCCCGCTGCTGCTGCGGCGATGCCCCGCGCCCTGCCCGTGCCTGCCTGCCCGAGGGCTCCCCACACCCTCGGCGCCCACAGAAACACCCGTGATTCAGCCTCACTCCTGTGAGTGACTTTTGCACCACGTCGTGTGTTAAGTGGACGACCCTCCTATGTCAGAGGAGGCTATTTCTATGTCCGTGTGTCCGTGTGTCTGTGTGTGCCCATGTGCAGGGGTGTTCACAGTGTACTTCGCCTCCACGGTTAATTCCCACCTGGTCTTGACACTCCCTAGTGTTGTGAACACTCCAGTACGCAAAAAACCTGTAAAATATCCCTGCCTCAGAATTCCTGGCTTTGCTAACTCCTAATGCAGCAATTCAGTTAATTACGCTGCACAGTCACAACTTAACAAAGACAACGTGACCCTGAGCATATCAGGTCATAGCAGCACAACCAAATACCTGAGAACATGGCTCTGTATGCTGAAGCTAACATCTCAACAGCCTCTGCCTGCAAAACACACACAAATCTGTTGGCTGTACTGCACTCTACCTAACCCAGCCATCCCTGCACCTGGAACATCAGCTTTCCCAGCTGTTCTTCTGGCTGTGGCTTCGAGGTGCTGATTGAGCCAGGAAATAACCCACCTCAGTAACAGCTGGCCCCACAGACAGGAACTGGGGTGGGACTGCCCACTTATGTCTCAGACTCGACACTGGTGGATTTGGGCTGGTCATTGCAGCACAGCTTCTCAGCCCCTCAGTGGGGACCACCACAAACCACCACTGACCACCAGTGACTACCACAAGCCACCACAAAGCATCACCGACCACCACTGCAAACCTCCACAAACCATCGCAAACACTCACGAACCGGCCGGGCTGGGACAGCCCTGCCCATGCCCACCCAGCAGCCGGACGCTCTATGGGTAAATCTTTCACCCCGATGTAATCTCCTTATAGCAGAAAACTGTTCTGCGGGTGACCTCTGCTGACGGGCCTGTGCTCAGCGAAACCATTCTAGTGCCAGCCTCCCGCAGGGCAGCCGCCGGTGTTTCTGTCTCGCCCCGGGAACCCCCCGTCCCACGGCCGCGGGTGATGCAAAGGGGCGGCAGCGTTGCAGCGCCGGCCGATTGCATCAGACACGGCCCCGCTGAGCCGCCTGCCCGTGTGAGCGGTGAAATCATCCTCACTCCCCCAGAACGGCTTCTCGGAGCTTCTCCCACCTGCGAGGCTGTGGCACTGACCGGCTGAAGCACCGGGCTGAGAAATCAGACAAGTTAGTGAGGAGACAGGGAGGGAGAGCATAGGTCTGACGAGGAGCGGCTGAGGGAGCTGGGGGGGCTCAGCCTGGAGAAAAGGAGGCTCAGGGGGACCTCATCAGTCTCTGCAACTCCCTGACAGGAGGGGGGAGCCGGGGAGAGGTCGGGCTCTGCTCCCAGGGAACAAGTGGCAGGACAAGGGAAACGGTCATAAGTTGCACCAGAGGAGGTTCAGGCTGAATATGAGGGAAAATTTTTTCCAGGAAAGTTGTTCAGGCACTGGCACAAGCTGTCCAGGGCAGTGATGGAATCACCATCCTTGGAGTTGTTCAAAAAGGAAGTGGATGCAGCACTTGGGGACATGGTTTACTGGTGAACATGGCAGTGCTGGGTTGATGGTTGGACTCAGTGCTCTTAGAGGCCTTTTCCAACCTTAAAAACTGCTTAATGGAATTTAATGTAATCCCTTCAGTTATTCCAAACTGACAGCCTGGCTTCTCTGGAAGCTGCTACACAGTGACCCTCAGGAACTTAGGGAACTTCTCAAAAGCATTGGTTGGAGTGAGAGCACTTGTATTTTGAAAGAAAAGAGAGAGAAAAGAGTACACATCTTGGCACAGCAACCAGTACTGCCCAAGGCACGTAAGTAAGCGGCACTGACTGTCCACCCCACCCCTCCTGGAGCTCAGGAAGGCAGCAGGGCCCTGCCATGAGCCTGACAGGTTAGGACTGAGGGGCAGCAGTTGGGGGGCACAGTGCACTGAAAGGGGAGCACCAAGGTCTGTGTCACTAGGCAAATCAACTCCCTCTGCACAGGGAGCTTCAGTTCCACACACCAATTCGGTTCACTCTGTGGTAGAGTCAGTCATTGTGTGGCAATCTTGGAATACCTTCAGGATGACTCCCTGGAACCACCCACAGCCTCACGGTGAGTCACAGCAAGCACTGGGAGAGGTTTAATGCTGAGCCTGGGAGAAGCCTCTGGTCACAGGGCTTGGCCATGCCCGGTGTGTGCTGCCCACACACACAGTACATACACTGTACATGCAGAGTACACACACAGAATACACTCGGTATACACACGGGACACACGCTGTGCGTGGCACAGCTACAATCAGAACTGGCAAGTTTATTCCTTTCTGGCGTGTGTTCCCCCACGGCTGGAGAGGGGCGGCAGAGCCCGGGGCTCCTCCAGCCCACAGCGGATGTGCAGGACAGGTCCAGGCCTAAGGGAACGAGGTCCCGCAGGCCCGGGGGTTCTCTAGTTTCACACCGCGGCCGGTGGCACCGGGATGCCCCGTCGCTGCCCTGCCCAGACGCCGCGCGGCGCTGCGGCTTCGGCCCCTCCGTCCCGACTCCCTCCCGGTCCCGCCGTCCCGGTGACTCCCTCCCGGTGACTCCCTCCCGGTCCCGCTGTCCCGGTGACTCCATCCCGGTGACTCCATCCCGGTGACTCCCTCCCGGTCCCGCCGTCCCGGTGACTCCATCCCGGTGACTCCCTCCCGGTCCCGCCGTCCCGGCCCCGCCGCTCTCACCGCCCCCGCTCCGCCCCATCGCTCCTCCCCGGCGGCCGCGCCGCCAATGGGGCCGGCGGGGCGGGACCGGCGGGTGCTCCCGGTGCCTGGGACGGGCTCGGGCTCCGAGCCGCTCCGCTCCACGCGGAGTCACTGACGGTCCGGTCCCGGTCCTGGTCCGCCCTGTCTGCCCTGGTCCTGCCGTCCTCCTGGTCCCGCTGGCACTGCCGGTCTCGCCGGCGCTGCCGGTCCCGGTCCGCTCCGTCCTGCCAGCACCGGTACCCAGGTGAGCCGCGGGGTCCGCGTCCCTGCCCGCCCGCCCGCGACGGTCCCGATCCTCTCCGGTGCCGGTGTCGCCCCGGTTGCGGGGGCGGGGGGACCGGTAGGACCTGCGGCGGGTCCCGCTCCCGGCAGAGCGGCGGCAGCGATACACGTGGGCTGCAGCCGGCTCCGTGATCGCCCCCGAACCCCGGGAGTGCCGGGCCGAGGGGGCAGGGGCTGGGGGACGTGGAGAGCGGGCCCGTGGTCCCGGGGGTGCCGGGGGGGGTGATGCTGGGCGGTCGTGCCTCCGCGGAGCGCGTGCCCGAAACGTGCCTGGGCATGCACAGCCCGGTGAGCTGCCGCCTTCCCGCGGGCGGCGGCGGGGGGCGCTGGCGGGGCCGCGGGGGTCGGGCCGAGCCGGGGGCGACGGGCGAGACGGGACCAGCCGGGTCGGCGGTGTCCGGGAGCGCGGGGCGCGCCCACGCCCGGCACCCGCGTGGGCGGCCCCGCCGCACGCACCGCCCCGCCGGCGCGCTGCCCCCGCACCCGTGTCGCCGCCAGCCTCGCCTCCGCTTTTCTGTCAGAAACGAGCAGCCGCCAGGTGCGGAGGTCGGTAGGTTTAGGTCGGATATTAAGAACAATTTCTTCCCCGAAAGGATTGTCCGGCCCTGGCGCAGGCTGCCCGGGGGGTGGTGGAGACCCCATCCCTGGGGGGATTTAGCAGATGTGTGGATGTGGCACTTGGAGATATGGGTTAGTGGTAGCCTGGGCAGTGCTGGGGGAACGGTTGGACTCGAGGATCCTGGAGGGTTTTTACAGTCTCAGTAATTCTGTGATTATTGCAGCAAGAAAATGACAATTACTAAGAATTAGCTGTGGGACAAAAAAATCCGAGGTTTTATGTGAATTGATAGGAGCTTTGGAAGTGTTACTTGAGATATCTGGTAAAGCAGAGTGTGAGTCCCCAAGGTGAACAGCCTGAACTTGGCAAAAGTCACTGGAAAGTGAGCGTTGGGGACTCCTGCCGTGCGCTGAAGCGGGTGAGAGCAGCCCGGAGCACTTCCCCTCCCCGCCCAAGAGCACGGTGCTTTCACCTAAAGCAAACAGTAGTTCTTAGCCACTCCAGATTAAACAACTAGTGGGCAATTGTGTGCGTAGAATCTCCAAAAGTGTTGGAAAACCTGCTGATTTCCAAGCCACGTGGAAAGCCTCAGATTCCACCTCTTTTCCTCCGCTGCAGCAGAGACTCTCCCAGCACAGTTTGTAGCACAGGGAGAGGCAGAGACGCTGTCCGGACCGGAGTGGGAGAATGGCTGAGCAGGAGACCGGGACTGGCTGTGGCCAAGCACGAGGAGTGCACTCATGTTTTCCAGATAACACTTTTTTCCCGTGCTTTTCACTTGCAGTTCTTATTTAGGATTTCAGCTCTCTGAAATAGAGCTCCAATGTATACAAGTGTCTCATCTGAGGTATGGTACTGCCTGGCTGTGCCAGTCAGTCCTGCAGCAGAGGAAACACTTCTGAGGTTGTGCTGGCTCCCGTGGTGACATGGAAGAGCCACTGCCGGGGTGTGGGTGTCTGAGTCCCTGAAGGTGGCTCTGGGCACTCCCTGTCCCAAGGAAGCAGAGACCCACGGCGTGAGGGCACGGGGTCAATGGTGGAGCAGGGACCATCCCAGCCCTTCTCCTCCTGCCCTGTCTGCACCCCAGCCTGCCCCCCTGCCCTGCCTGCCCCCCCTGCTCTGCCTGCACCCCTGCTGGCCCCCCTGCCCGGTGCATGCTGGGCAGATGGGGAGAATCAGCAGCGCTAACGCTTTCACTGATCACTTTCATTTTCTACCCTTTCACTTACTAATTTTCTCACTCTCTTTTTCCTACCAGAATCCATTAGCTGGACACAGAAGAAGTAGTTTATATTCCTATATAATCTAATTTTTTTGAAAATCACACTTTTGCAGACAAAAGACAATGGCTGAACCACAGCACTGTGATGGAGTGGATGAACTGCAGCTCATACTGTGACACTGCTGGAACAATTTCATCTCATGCAGTGAAACTCATTCATCAGCTCGTGGGTTTGGTGTCTTAAGGGATGATGCAGTGGGGAGCCTGCTCTGCTTCCCTGCTCTGGCAGGATGTCTCTTTAAGGCAATAAAAGAGTTCTTTAACAAATTAATGATGTTTTTAAGTTAGAAGATCTCATGGATTTCGCACTAGGGCAGGAGACTCTTCTTTCCCCCAACCTATAAGTACATTGATACTGTGTCCAATGTATACTCATTGATACTATGTTAGCTTTATATTCCTCTTCTGCAGATAAATCTGCTGCTCTGGCAGTCACCTAGAGACCCCATGTGGTTCCCAAAGAGGTGGGAGGGTTTGTTGTTTGGTTTTGGCTTTTTCTTTCGGTTCATTACGACCAGTTGTTTCAGTCAAGCATTAGACGATCCAAGGTTGCTGCTGTACTGGGACAGCATCAGGTGGTTTGGATGTGTCCTCCACATACAAATCAAGTGTCTTGGGTCCAGTGGTATTGAAATAAGAAGTACAAAGATCTCACAGCTTTGAATTTCATGCCAGATTTTCAACAAAGTGTTCGTTCCTTCTATCATTATGCTGTGGTTTGAGCAGCAGCAGGCCTGCCCTGTGCCCAGTATCCTGCTGGCACAGCGGGGAGGGCTGTCTCCCCCATCCTCAGCAATTCCATCATCTTGGCAGACATCCTCACACGTGGAGCAGCTCTGGTGTGGGATTCCTTTGGCCTGTGTAACTTTCTGTATTCGGGGAACTGCTTTAAGCTGGGACTCTCGTGGGGAGGGGGCTGTGAGGGCACCCAGGTGCAGGCCCTTTGGAAAAGGCTGTAAATATATGAGAGTGGTCGGATTGTGTTCTCGGACAGTTTCACCAAAAAACCTGCTGGTTAGGGGTATTTTACTGTGGGGGGAGTTGTTGTTTTTTTCCTTTTTTTCCACCAGAGCCTTTTTTTGGTGTTACAGCAGCACTTTAGAGAGCAGACAAAGATCAGTCCCTTGCTCTCCACACTCTGGTGTCTGGGCTCCTTTCCTCTTGCCTGCAATTTTGTTTCATTCATCTTGTGCAAGAGCCGGAACCAAACTCCAGAGCTGAGCATTGGCTGTGCTGACCCCGTACCCCAGAGGCACCTGCCAGCAGGGGCGAGCCTGGCTGTGGGCACGAACTCCCCGAGAGGCTGGGCTCAGGCCACTGCTGTGCCGGCCCCACAGAGTGGTTGGGTGTCGCCCCTCTGGGACCATCTCTCTGCTTTTCATTTTCTCTCCTGTGTTCAGCCTGTAGCTGAACCCTGACATGAAACCCTGTGCGTTTCCCAGAGCAGTGGCATTGAGCTCCCTCTTCACCCCCTTCTGAGGTGGTGACAAATCTCCTTTATTTATTCAATAGTGTCAGGAACCTTTACGCTATTTATAGGCTGTGCCCATGCCCCTCCCGAGATGTTTGCAAGACAGATTTAGCCCCTTCAGCTCCTCATGGCCTGTCCCCGAGGGATCGGCTGCGATCCTTGTATCAGCCCGTGCACCGTGAGCAGGAGCTGCGTGAGGGTGACTCACGCACTGTGCTCGTCTGGGCAGACCTCATCTCCCATGAATCTCGGCCTTCCGGAGCTGGGGGAGCCCAGCCAAGTGTCTGCTTCCAAAAGGCACCAGCAAGGGAGTGGTGGAATTAGGCAGAGGAGGCAGAAAAAGCCTGTGGAGGAATGCTGCCGTGGGAGGGGAAGGAGTTCTGTCAGGAGGGGCTGGAGTGCTGGGGGTCCTGCAGCTGCTCCCCCTCCACTGCAAAAACCAGAATTGATCAGACAGCCCCAAAACTCCAAATAAATTGCTCAGTTTTGTGGCTTCAGTCTGAGCTGCTTGTTCTGGGTGAGATACCGATCCCATACTCCCCTGTGAGCCACCCTCACTGACGGTTCAGCCCCACAGTGCCCGGGCTGGTTCTGCCCTCACCTTCAGCTGAGCCATTTATGCACCTCAGAAAGGCCCTGGAGGGTGTTTTGGAGGGAGGGGGGAGTTTGTTCTGCTGGTCCTCTGAGGTCACTGTGAGTGAGCCCACGCTGAGCCAGAATGTGTGCAGAGCAGCAGTCTGAGTGGCCACGCAGATCCAGGGCAGAGCAGCAAGGCCACAGGTGTGTGTGTCCCTGGGGACACAGTGGGGACACAGGTGTGTGTGTGTCCCTGGGGACACAGCGGGGACACAGGTGTGTGTGTGACCAGCATTTGGTCTGTCAGACCAATACAGCCATGCTGGCCAGAACTGGGATGCTAGATCCTGAAGCTGGGACTTTATTGGGCCTTTCCTGGGGCTGAGCTCTCTACTGACCATCTCAGGTACCCAGAGCTATGACTGGGGCTGGCAGAATCCACTGGTGACCCGAGCAGTCGGTGGATCCACCTCAGTCTTGGGTCTGAAATTTCATTTGTTCTGTTGTGAGGCTGTGAGGTGGCAGCTAATGGGGCAGTTCATCTGCAGCCTTGCTGGGAAGCCCATCTGGGACTGCTGGAGCTGTGCAGCAGGAACCAGTGACCACCTCCTGCCCGAGTCCCACCCATGGTGCCCAGCAGTGCCAGCTGCCATCCTGGCCAGGTGGAAATGGCCGCTCAGAGAAGGGCACGCTGCTCATCCCAAAGGTGTTGGGGCTGGCTGTGACCCCTCTGCCTTCTCTTCCTCTCCTCCCCAGGCTCCCCTCTCCTCTCCAGCACAATGGCCTGCCAAGAGAGTGAGTACCTGGATGACCAGAAGAAATGTGTCCCCTGCAGAAAGTGCATGCCTGGGCAGGAGCTTTCCAAGGTAAATTGACTGCTCTGTAAGGAGTGGGAGTCATCTATCACCAAGGCTTTTACAGTGCTGGGTGAATCTTCTTCCAGCCTCCCTTCAGAAGGATGATCTTAGGTCCCGGAATGTTGGGAAGAGTTCAGACGTGGTAGGATGGGATGGTGAATTGTTTCACCCACCCTGGGTAGGAGGGTGAGACAATGGAAGTAGGAGGTGGCGAGGGATTTTGGGTTGCTCCTCATGCTGCCTTGTTCATTTTTTGCTGATGGAAGTCTGAATTTCCTCTGGTCCATAGCCCTGAGGTCACACTGCCTGGCCGGGCTGCATGTGGGTGGGTGCCAGCAGGACAATGCTGTGGGTGGTCCCAGCCCAGCCTCAGTGAGGGGTGTCCCAGCGGGGTCTCCCCCGAGGTACCTCCCTGGGCATGGTGCTGCCAGAGCTTTCCAACAGCCGCAGTGCACCGGCGGGGCACGGCCGGGCACGAGACTGTTCTGGGGGAGCCGTGCTGCTCTCAGCTGGGTTCTGAGAACTCTGCACATGAGTAGTGGCCCCACTACCCTTTGCCCCCAAAGAAGGGACACTGTTCCCCTCAGTAGCATTTGGAACCCACCGTGGCCCCTTGCAGCCATGCCCCCAACCTTGTGCCCTGCAGGACTGTGGTGACGGCAGCGGAGGGGACGCGCAGTGCGTGGCCTGCCCTCCCAGGAAGTTCAAGGACCGCTGGGGACACCACGGCTGCAAGCCCTGCCTGTCCTGCGCCCTCATCAACCGCCTCCAGAAGTCCAACTGCACGGCGACGGCCGACGCGGTGTGCGGGGAGTGCCTGCCAGGGTGAGCAGAGCTGCGGGCCAGGCAGGGAGGGCGTGGGCACAGAGGGGGCCTAAGAGGAGCCTGACGACCCAGGCCTGCCTCTGTGAAGACTCTACTCATTACATGGAAGTCAGACCGATCTGATGGTCCCCTTGTAGCTCCAGAGAAGGGAACCTGAAGGCTTCCATAAATTAGCTGTGGAAGAAAAGTTCCAGACCCGAGTTGTTCTGTGGATACCAGTGTGGCCAAGCCCTGAAAGATGAGGGGCTGTAGACCACTATGGTTGATGGTCCTGAAAGAGGAGGAAAGAGGGGTGATGTGTTTAAGGAGTTACTGAAATGAAACTGCTGTATACAGCCATCCTGCACCAAGCCTGAGGTCTGCAGACACACGCTGACCACCAGTGGGACTGGGAGAGGAGCGAGTTGAGGCTTTGGTCTATGAACTTCTTGCTGGACACAGCTGTAGCTGGGGTGTTCCTGGTCCTCTGGAGAGCTGCTTATCTCTATAATCCACTTCAGCAGACATGGGGCCAGGGAGGGAGGGGCTGTTGGAGGGATGTCACTCCTTGGCAAATGGCTAGGCATGAACAAGTAGCTGTGGTGCAGCTTCAGCTGGCGATGAGAGCCCTGCTGCTGGGGGGTGGCCCAGTTGGCTGGGCAGGAGTGGAGGGTCAGCTGTCCCCCACTGCCGTGGGCTGGGCAGCACAGCTGGCTGCACAGCAAGGGTGGTGGGACCCCATCAGGAGCTGGGCACTGCTGAGCCCCTCTGCTCTGTTGCAGGTTTTACCGGAAAGCACGGATCAGTGGGCAGCTGGAATGGGAGTGCATCCCCTGCACCAAGCAGACGCCCTCCTCCGAGCCACAGTGTAGGTGCCCCTCACTGGGCGAGATCAGAGTGGGTGGTGTGGACATGATGGAGCTGCAGCCCCGCTGCAGAGGAGGAGGGGCACAGTCATGGCATGTGGCAAGGGACACATGGGAAGGGGTGGTCCAAGCCTCGCAGTTTGGCTCCAGCATTTTGTGGCTGATGTTTGCAGGTCGCTCCAGAACTAACCTGGTGAAGGTCGCCATCCCCACTGTACCACCACAGGACACGGCCCTTCTTGCCCTGACCAGCAGTGCCCTGATCATCATCGTCCTGGTGCTTCTGGCACTCTCCATCATCTACTGCAAGCGGTTTTGGAAGAGCCAGTGCCAGCGAGGTGAGTCAGTGCTCTCCTCCTCTCTGTGCTATTTACCTGTGCCCGTGATTCCTTCTTGCTGTGTAGAGTATTGCCCCGAGCATTGCTACTTTGACAGCACAGTGACCCAACTGTTACTTGGCTCAACAGAATAGACACCTTGCCCTGCTTCTCAATGCCTGCAGGACCTCTTGTGTGCTTTGCCTGCTTAAAGACACAGAGGATCCTCCCTCCTCCTTGGTGCCATCAGGAGGAAACAGAGAAGGCCATTTTGCATTCAGAACTGACAATCCTGACTTCTGGGGTTTCTCAAGTTGGGCAGCTCTTTGCTGCTGAGCGAAGAGGGCAGTAGGTTTGGTGGCCAGGGTTGGGGCACGCTGGCATCCAGCAGCATGCCAGGGAGCTGCTGGCTCCTGGCTCCTTGCCAGCAGACATACCACAGGGCTGAGGACGTGCTGGGGAAGTGAGCCAGGCCTTTACTCAGGCTGGTTCTCTTCTATCCTCCAAGTCTTCCTGAGGACTCAGAACTTCTCGGGCCAGCGAGCAATGTTCCCGACCGCAGCGGCGCCCGGCAGGTTCCTGTGTGAGGAGCAGATGTCTGGTCCCTGCTGCCTGGGTGTGAAGAACCTGAGCCCTTGCTACAGGCAGGCAGAAGGTACCTGCTCTTGTGTCTTCCCATGGGGAGGGAGGTGGTGCTGGGCTCCAGCTTGAGTGTCCCAGGACCTGCTGAGATGCCCTGAGGCAGGAAGGATGGAGCTGGATGGTGAGTTTGCTGAGCCATGCCTGTTTCTGGTTCCAGGCCCTGTGGAAGCGGTGCAGTTCATTTCGGACGGGGAAGCTGTGGGTCTCCAGCTCCCCTCTCTCCAGCCAGAGGTGGACTTGCCGCCGGCCATTGTGGTCAGCGCTGCCTCCAAGGCCCAGCTGGGCAGGAGCCTCCTGGAAAGCCAGCCCCTCCTCCGGGCCTCGGGCCATGGTGACTGCCTGGCCGGGGTCCTGCCGCCCCCCGCCCAAAGGCAGGGCCAGCCAGGCACGGTGGAGGCCCTGGCCCCCCTCTCCTCCTGCGCCTCTGAGATGCAGCACAAGTGGCCACATGCACCAGTGGAATGCACCGAGCTGGACCTCCAGAAGTTTTCCACCCAGGCAGAGTTTGTGGGCAGCGAGCGGCCGGACGATGCAACGAGCCAGGCAGTGAAGAGGATCCCGGCAGAGAGCAGTGGTGTGGTGCAGGAGGGGGCCCATCACTTGCCCTCCACCTTCCCAAATCCCACTGCCGATACCCCCCCTGGGGAGCGGCCGGTAAGTTCCTTCAGCCTCATCACTCCTCTGAACTGCTGCCGAGGCTCAGGCACAGGAGCTGGGCTCGATGGGGGGGTAGGGATGTGGACTGAGGTCTGTTGATACGGAATGGCACAGCTGGAGGAGAAGCACCATTCTGTGAGCCCCTGTGATGGCCCTGGGAACAGTGCCAGGCATTGCTGTTCTCAGCAGACTGCCACCAACCTTGGGATCTTTGTCTCCCCAGGTGGATGATGCCCAGAGCCTGGTGACTCAGATCAGCAGCGCAGCCAAGGGTAAGTGGCCTTCCAGCCTCGTCTTTATTCTCGAGTACTGGGATATCAGAGAGGCAGGTTCTTGGAAGAGAGCTCCTCCAGAAGCCCACCATGGCTGCATGGAGGTGCCAGGGATCACAGGGACTTACCTGACTTGTGGCCTTTGGTGCTGGTTCACAGGGTGCATTGTCTGTGATGCTGCCTTGAGTGGCCTGCGGGCCAGTGGCTGATGGAAGCCCAGTTGTCCCCAGTTACCAGCTTCCCTAGGACTGAGCCAGCTCCATGTTGCTGAGCTCTGAAAGTGATGTTGGAGGAGATGCCTGCCCTGGCAGGATGTCCTGTCACCTGCTCGACAGGGGCTGGGGCTGGAGTCCGGCTGCTCTGTTTTCCCTTATCCTGGCCAGGTAGGACAGGTTCTAACCCAGCTCCACTGTGATGCTGCTCCCCAGGTCTCCTAATAGCAGAGCTGCCACATTCCTTGGTGCAGTCACTCGCCTTCTTGTTGGACCCTTCCTTGAACGGCGTGAAGAACTTTGGCCACGTGGCACTGGAGCTGGGGCTCGTGCCCCAGTTGCTGGGACGGATCTCAGGGTTTGAGCAGCTCGTCGCACACTTCACGTACGCGGGAGCCGCCGTGACCGTCCCGCTGCTGGCACAGGCGCTGCAGCGGCTCCAGCGGTTCGACGCCTTGCTCCTGCTCTGTGACCACTTCACTCTCAGCCCGGTGACAGACCACCAGCACTAGAGGACGCGGAGGGATGAGGAAAGCTCCATGCACTGCTGGTGTGGGAGAGGATCCAGTGGCCTTCAGTCATGTAACTTCCCTGGTGTGCATGGGGGCAGAGCATGGAGATGGTCTTTGCATCACGGAATGGAAGGATGCGAGGGGTTCTGGGAAGCACAGCTGTACCTGCTCCCAGCTCCGTGTGGGAGGGCTTGCTCAGGCGCCTCCAGAGGCTGTTTTTCTCTGGCTGTGACACCCTTGGTCACTGTGCTGCCCATGATGCGGTGCTCTGGCTCTGCAGTGAGCCCCATCCTGCCCCACTCTTGCCATGGGGTCCCTCAGCCATGGGGCTTGGTCTCCACTGGCAACACCCTCCTATGGGCCTAGCCATCGCCTCCCCTCCATTCCAGCTTTTCTGTCCTTCCTTTGCTCTGTGCTGTGCTTTCCTAGGTGCCAGATGCCACTTTCCCAGTTTGCTTTTTGGTTGTTTCTCTTCTTCCATGCTGGGATTTCCTCAGCAGAGGACCTGGCCATGGCTCACGTGCTGGGCTCCAGCCTTTGCCTCTCTGTGCCACCCTGGCACCTTCCCCTTTGTGTCTGTTTGTCCTGGCAGGAGTCTCAGACTGATCCCCAGGATGAGCTGGTGTACATCTTTGTCCTGGGGCTGTGGCTGCTGGCCCGGGACAGGTGCTGGCTCACTCCCGGGCTCCTGCCATGCCCCACAGCCATCTGCTGCCCATCGCCTCCAAGGCTTTGCGGTGGCACAGGGCAGCAGGGGCAGGGTCGCTGCACTGCTTTGCCCTGGGGAGCGGGTGGCAGCTGGGGGCTGAAGCCATGACTGTGGTTGCAGTCAGTGATGACGTCCCTGTGCCAGCCACAGCAGGGCCAGCTCCTTTTAAAATATTTTTCTTTTTTTTTTTTCCTGCCTATAAATGGCCTGATTTCTCATTCCTGGGAGTTGCTACTGGGGAAGGGAGAGACCTTCTGCTTCTTATTTCATCCTGAGGGATTTGTCAGAGTTTGCCGTGGTCCTGCTGCCACTGAGTGCCCCGGTTTCGGTTGCTGTGCCCGGGGCTGAGGACTGGAGGTGGTCAGGCTGTTCTCAGTGGGGCTCTGTCAGTGGCCCCGGACAGGCACGTTCCCGTGCGGGGCGCGGCGGCGCGGGGGCGGCGGGCACGCGGGGCTGCGGATGCCGCTCCCGCGGGGTCACGGCTGGAGCAGCTGCCAGCGGGGCTGCGGCGGCAGCGCGGCTCGGTGCCAGGCGACACTGACACCGGGGTCCAGTGAGGGTCACCCCAGCTGTCCCGAGACTCCCGGGCAGCGCTGCCGAGGCTGAACCGGTGGTGCTCGCTCTGGCTCTGCTGCTCTGTCCCTCACTGCCGCGGTGGGTCCAGCGAGCGCTGTCTGCGGTCCCGCCCATGGCCGGGGGCTCCGGCCGAGCCGGCGGACGGTGGTCGCCAGCAAGCGGCACTGTTACCCCGCCAGCCCCGCCTGCCGACCCGCGGGCTTTGCCTTTATGTGACCACAGTACCTGGAAGAAGCGGGTGCCCTTCTGGGAAGACAGCCCCCTCCAGTCCCGGGTATTAATAGCTGCTCGTGTTTCTTTTCCCTGTTCAGTGCTGTTGGGACTCAAACGCACCCAGGATGTGCTCAGATAAGCAGGGGCGTGGGCAGTTTCAACTGGATCTGACACTTTCTCTCTGCTGCTTGTTTCTTCCACAGTCAAGGTCATTTTATTGCTCTTTGCTCCCCAAGACCCAAAGTGTTGGACCTTGTGCCATTTGGGGCCGGGGTTAGTTGGACTCTCGCTGCACGCTCGGGTTATCAGGGAGCAGCCAGCAGTGTTGCTGCAACACACACAGCCTGGGGCCAGGGATTTCCTGGGCTGCTCCCCACTCTCACTGTGTCCGTGGCAGGCACCTTCCTTCCACTGCGGTGACAAAACCAGCTGTGTTTACAAGGGCCAAAATTTCTACAGGTGGCCTTTGGCCAATGCCCCTGGGGATCCTTTGGCCAGCCTGCCTCAAGCCCAGCTGGAGCCCTCAGGGAACCACGAGAGCCTGAAAACGGATAATACTGGGACATCAGAATTATGCCTATCCCTGCATGAGGAACTGCTTCAGTGGGGAACCAATGAACTCAATACTTGACTTTTGCCTTTTAATAGTATTTTCAACACAATACATGGAAGGTAAGGGAAAGAAATTCCCGTAGTGCTGAATCTCGTGTCACAGCCTCAGGAAGCTGTTTGTGCCAAGCTGGCATGGCTCTTGGGGAGGTGAAAGGAATGAAATAACTCAGCATCTGTGCAAACTTGAGCTGGGGCTGAACAGTGGAAACACTCCTGCAATGGGGTTATATTTTACAAGCAATTGGTTTTGACACCATTCTTGTCTGGAAGTCTGATTTGCAGAGGAATTTGTATGATAAGTTTAAATCCAGCCCTGTTCTGAGAAGCTCTTAAGCATGGACCTAAAATAGGCACATACTTCAGTGCTGGTAAAGTGTTCATTCTGATGAACAGTTGGGGAACAACCCTCGGATGCTGTTCCTGAACAGGGTGCTCTGGAGAGCTGTCTCCTTACAGGAGCTTATTCCTGTGCTCTTACAGGAATATGCAATACTGACAAAGACATTGTTTTACTGATCTGGGCACACTTCTTGGAAGGGTCTGCAAGTGTCGGGGGAAGATGCCCTCTGTGTTGGATTATTTTATACTGCAGACTCTGGTGCTTTTCAAAAAAATAATCACTACATTTCTGTAGCCATGGTTTACCCAGGGTAATACATGGTGTTTTTTATGATGGATGTTATTTTTCTTTAAGGTTACGAATAGGTTATTTATATTTTTGTAAATTCTGTGTTGTTACCATTGTAATTCTGATGTAGCATTGCTTGTTAGGTTTGGGGTGTTGTCTGTGTTCAAATCTAGCAGTAGCTGAAGCTCCTGCCTTCTGTGTTAATGGTGGGAGTTCCCCCACATTCCTCCGGACCTGGTGCTCTTGAGTGCTGTGTGTTTGTAGTTCAATAAATTTTGGATCCAGAGGTGATGATGCTCAGTGAGATTTGATTCCCCTCCCTGTGGGTCCCCTGCCCACCTGCTGGTGGGGGCAAATGCTGCAGGGGCTGGAGGGGGCTGGTGGGCCCTGTCTGGCAGGGGCCTGTCTGGCAGGGCAGGCAGGGCTTCTCAGAGAGATGCTGCAGCAGCTGAGGCTGTCAGCCTTGTCTTTGGTTGATGCACAAGGAGTGATAATAAACCAACCGTGTTCCCCTCAAAGCACTTGGGATTCTCCTGCTCCACACTGAAATAAGAGATAGCTGTCTGTGAAGTAAGGCTGGCAGAGGAACATATGTGCTCCATGCAAGCAGAGAAGTGTGAGGTTGAGAACCTGCTCCTCTGTGGTCAGAGCAAGGCTGGCTCCCACCCCAGTCCTGGTGCCACCTCAGCCACGCTTTGCAGAGAGGCTGGCAGCACATCAAGGTGCTGGAGTTCACAGTCCTTACCTCAGCTGCCTCCAGCAGGAACATCTCCAGCTGGGATGCAGAGCTATGCAAAGGCACTCACAGCTTGGCAAGCCTCCAGCTCCAGAGGGAATGCCAGGGAATGCTGTTTGGCCCACGCGATGCCTGTGCACCATCTCCTGAGCTGTCTCTGGAGGGGGAATGCAGACGTGTGTCCTGCTGCTCCCAGCAGCCACAGCTTGCAGACAGCAATCCTACCAAGCCACATGTTCCTGACAGATGAGGTTTTGCTTTGAAGAACTCAGGTGAAACCTGTGGGAGGGGATACCTCACCTGCACCCCCCAAGGATGTACCTGCAAAGGTGGGGACTGTGGCTCTGTCCCTGTGTGGACAGTGACCCCTGAGAGGAGATTATGTTAGACCTGCTGAGGTGAGACTGCAAGCAGGTGGGGTCTTTGCATCATTCTCACAGGGGACTTCCCTCTGAGGGCATGTCCTCCTGCCCCTGAGCACTGAGTGGCAAAGGGGTGCCGTGGAGGAGGCTGGCCAGGGTGAGGAGGTGTTATCAATAATGAAGTATTCTGAGTGGGGTCTTGCTTGGAACCAGACTAATCAATGAGCCCTGAGTTAACACGGACTGTGTGGTCTGTGGACAGTGAAGTCAGAGGAGTTTTCTAAGATCTTCCTCGTGTGCAACCTCTGGAGGCACAGAGCAAGTGCTTTTACAGTTGGACTTTTTCCTGAAGCCCTGTGTTTGCTTATCCATTTTTGGGCTGTGATGACCTGGATCAAGCACAACGTTGTGTTAAAACACAAACCTAAACGTCGCAGTTACAGGGAGGGGAGGGCAGGGAAGGGAGCAGTGGGCGGGGGAAGGCTGCCCCTTTCCGTGCAGGAGAGGGGAGCCCTCGCTCCTCAGCCGGGTCTGACCGAGCTGCAGCGGGCAGCGACCAAACGCCAGGAGTGACACCGGCGGCTCTGGAGCGCCTCGGCAAACAGCTTTCCTGCTTTCACACTTCATTTCCTCACCTAACCCAAACCAGGAGGCTCACCACTGAGGAAACCTCAAACACCTGTGGCAGACTGGTCTCGGACCCGGGATGAGGGAGCTGTGGAGAGGAGGGAGGGGGGAGGAAAGTGCCACTGTTTTTCCCACTCTGGACTTGCTGCTAGTCCCCACTCCCAGCCTGTCCTCAGGCACACAGACCCCGGAGGCAGGGGGAGCAGAGCTGCTCTCCAAGCATCCCTCATGTCCCCAGGCCCAGTGTTGGTGATGAGCTGCTGCAGTGGCTTTAGGTGAGGGATGGGAGTGAAGATGCAGTGACTGCCCATGGTGGGGGCTCAGTTCCACTCTCCAGCCTTCCTGTGCACATCCATTGGGGGGAGGAAAGAGCAGAAATCCCAGGGAACACCGGCAGGGAGAGAAGGGGATTCTCACAGGTGAACTCAAGGAGAGAGGCAGTAATTAAATTTCAGCTGATTTTGATGTCAGGAGGGACAGGCTCAGAGGATGCTTAACCCCCTTTTGCTCTGCTCCTTGCACGGGAATTGCTCATCCCCGTGGGCCTCGATGGCACTCAGCTCCATAACAAACCTCTCCTCCCACTGGGCACATCCTGCTCAGCCCTGCACCACCCTCCACGTGTCCCTGGCCCCTGCAAGGACGGCAAGACAGGTGGGTAAGTTTCCATTGCTAAAATTGAAGACTGAAATCCATTAGAACTGAATGTCCAGACTGGAGTTCCTTCCCTTCTCTGCTTTCCTTCCCCACAGGTGATGTTTTTACAGTTTTGTTCTCTGATTTTCTAATTCTATATTTCCCCCAGGCTTCCCCCTCATGCTCAGTTCTCACCTCACCATGCCTCTGCAGGACACAAGGACTATTACAAGTGAAGAAAACACATTTCATAGCACATTATTGAATTGGATGTGTTTGCCCAGAGACAGAAATGTATTGTTCTTCTACCTTCCTCACGGGGACTTTCAAAAAGCAGCTGAAAAGCTTTAGCAGTGTGTTTGGGACATCCCCAGCATCCCTGGCTGCTCAGCACCCACCCAGGCAGTGCCACCTTCACCCACAATCACTGTGGGCAGACAAGGGAACATTAAGGGAACATTAGTGAGAGCAAACCGTCTCAATTGAGACCAAACTGGGAGCAACAACATCCACCACAAAAAAAAAAAAAAAAAAAAAAAAAAAAAAAAAAAAAAAGGTTCCCAGTTCCTTTTATTAGCAGCAGTTGTTAATTTTTAAGGGAAAATAAATCCATCTCCAATTCCAGAGCCATGCTGATGGCAAACAAACTTTCTGTCTTCGGGGACAGCCTGATGCCAATAATTATTATTCATCAAAAATACATTATTATTCCAAGTGAAATTCCTGTATTCCTGCCCTGAGCCCTGGTGGTAAATGAGGTTTTTGAGCCTGGTCAGCCTGTTTCTGCATGACAATTAGTACATTAACGGGAGCCAATAGCCTGGGTGTTGGGCTGGTTTGGCTTCCAGTGCAGCAGCATCAGGGAAGGAGCTTTAGCAGAAGAATAAAGTGTTTTTACAACCCATTCAATACCTCTTCACACTCCCCCTCATCCTCCTCTGAGCCGCTTTGATGGGATTATCGGACTACAAATACCTTAATCAAGTACAATAACAACAGGGCCAATTTTCATCATTTTTTACCTCCTACGGTTAATATTAGCAAGTCAGAGCAAGGAGCATGCGACACCCCCGGTCTGTGCCCGGCCACCTCCAAAGCCAGGCGGGTCAGACGCGGCTCCGGGGCCGCTCCTCCGGGCCGGGGGGGCCGGGCCAGGGCGGCTCCACCGAGAGCAGGGCGCTGTGAGCTGCTCTGCTCACCGGGCTCTCACCCCGCTCCTGCCCAGAGGTCCTCCCGAAGCACATCCCCTGCCCCGGGCACCGACAGGGTCGTGCTCCAGCCCTGCAGAACCTGTGCCATGGAAAGCATTTGAAACGGCAGCTCGGTGTCAGGAACGTGTGTGTGTGTGAACACACAGCAGTACAGATCAAAATGAAATGGAGGAAAGGCTCCTATCCCCCACTTTGTACAGGGAGGGGGAGCAGAGAACGTGTTAGCAATGCTCAGCAGTACAGACAGGAAAACAGGACACTTGTCCCACCTTCCCCCTCAGTCTCTCCTTTCTTCACAGTGATCAGAGGAAACAAGGGAAAAACAAAGTATTAGACAACTGAGCTTCACAAAGAAGTGGAGAATAAGTCAAGCAATGAATCTGTTCCCATTTATAGGTGAGATGTTTGAATACATTGCTAAATATTTATGGTCTTTATTAGCTCTGTTAATCGTAACAGTTCTCCTGGAGAATGAATATTCCTACATCATGCCCTGCAAGCTGTGCAGGACAGCAGAATACTTATATTCCCCTGAATGGAAGGTGAAGGAAGGCAAGTTAATGTAATTCTCTCAAATAGAACAGAGGTACCCTTATGCTCAAGTCAGCTTCAGGTTTCTTAAAATGAACCTTCTAATTTAATAAAGGGAAAAAAATCGATATCCTACCATAGAAATGTGAATGTAAAGAGGGAAGGGACACTGCATGGGAGAGTTTATTTGGAATGCAGCCATGGCCACCTCCATGTGGGAACCATTGGTGTCAGTCACTGTTCGTCAGCACGAGCAACTGGTGCATTTCATTTCAGAACAGGGCAGGAATTAGAGACAAGCAGGTGAATAACTGGCCTGTGAAGAGGGGTTCACGAAAGACAACATATTGTGAAGGAAATACTACAATGGTAAAAACTAAAACTTGATTCTTTTCCAGTCCTTAGGAGGGACTCGGTTTATTAATCTGAAGGTGGAAGGTCCAAGCAGTGTATCACAGTTCAGAAGCAAGTGAAACTATCCAAAACAGCCCAGGGCCACCCAGCCTGCTGCAGGTCCCCACTAATGGAACTGTGGTAAATCCATCATGGAAGTGATTCAGGCACTTGTTATATTCTGAATTCTGCCATGTTTGGCATGTATTACCAGTAAAAGGTCAAAATAAGCTGTGGAAGGAGAAAGAAGCTGCAAAAGGTTGAGGCCATTGATTAATTGATCGCTTAATTCCTGTGGGAAACTGCCTGAGACAGGATGAGGCCACAAGCAAATATTTTTCCTGTCTCAAAAATAGGTACAAAATCTGCTGCTCTGAAACTTGCTGCCATCATTTTTGTTAGGTATCATAAACTATCCCCTAACAGAACCCATGGTCTGGCCTCTGATGTACCTGCTCAGCATAGATCGGGAAGAGCCAAGGACTGGGAGCATTCAGGCATCACCCTGGGAGAGCAGTTCAGGAACAGACCTTGGAATTGGGGTGGGGATCACTTGGGAAATGCCAACAGTCTTCAAACCAAGCACTGACTGCACCCTGTGCCTGGTGCTAAACCTGCCCTCACCTGCCGGTATTCCTGTCTGGGCTCCATCCAAAGTCTGGGAGATCAGAAGTGTTCCTCTGCCCACCACAGTGCAGGAGGAGTGGCAGGGGGAGGCAGTGGGGGCTGAGGGGGGGGGAGAAGGCTGGTTCTATGGGGTGCAGGTGGGTTCTGTGGAGAGCAGGGGGTTCTATGGGGGGGCAGGCAGGCTGAATTTGCAGTCGGTGAGAGGGCAGAGCTGTGTGCCCTGACTTGAGGGAGGTGCTCTCCTGCTGCCTGGGGCACAGGGCGGCTGCACATCATCGCCCACGCGGGAATTTGGGGTGTGCCTCACGTCCAGGTTCCTTCCTCCCTCTTCCTCACCTGGTCCATGAATGACCCAAGCTGCCAAGTTATTTCTCAATGCAAAATGATGGTCTGACTCTGGCTCACCTATACCCCTACTTCCCAGGACTTGTGCTGGATTTAACAGAGGACATTCCCATTTTTCTCTGCAGCATGCTTTGGCCAGCCCCTCCATACTGTTTTTCACTTGAAGAGCTAACTGATGATAATTGTATTCTGTTTCTCCTTCCTGAGCTAATTTTCTGACTCATTGTGGTTTTTTTCTGCTTGCTTTTTGTTAATCTAGTTGGCATGTTGTGGTTTCTTTGTTCATTATGTGATGGGGCTATATAAGAGGATTTGTCTCTGGAATTCAGGTATCCCTTGCACTATGTTCCCTGTTATCGTCTTCATCAGCAACTCTGCTGAAGGCACTCAGCTGCATTTGGCATGAGCTAACCTTAATAAATTTGGGCTGTTAATCACTCAGACATGTCTCGTTGGATCTTTGCACACTGATTTGTGTGTGCTCAAATAGCTTCCCTGGAGTAGACTTGTAGTGACTCAGTGTTTCAATAATCTGCCCTCCAAACTCTCCCTCGGGGTTCTGCCTCCCGGGGCTTTGCCTGCCGAGAGGCGCCGCAGCCGCCGAGGGCGCGGGTCGAGCGTTCGCTCCGCAGGCAGGACGAGGGCTCTCCACGCGGCTCGGGCTTCCCGGGGGATTCTCCTCCCACTCCACACTCCTGTCCGGCTCCAGCCTCGGGGCTGCAGGGACCAAACCGTGCTGCTGCTGCTGCCCAGGCCGGGGCAGGACCCTGCTCCCACCAGCACAGTCTGGATGAGGCCGGGAGCACACGCGGGGCAGCCGGAGTCCCCCTTCGGGGAGCTCTCCCTTGGTCCTGTCTCTGGAAGCTCTCCCTTGGTCCTAGGGATCTCGGACAGCAGGCTGCCTCTGCCTCTGCTCAGGAAGCCATTCCCAAAGGTGGGCGGGGGGAACAGAGACAGATTAAGGAATGTCTCAGCATCTGTTTACCTGCTGAGTTGACTCAGACTCAGCAAAAGCCGAATATCACAGACTCCCTTTTCCAGAGCCTGTCTCGGTAAGCACTCTGCTCGCCTGCAGTCCATCAGGGATGCAGCCTCCTGCCCCTCAGGCACTGCCCTTGCCCTGGCCAAACATCACTCAGGCTATGGCTTTTTTGATGTTTTGCATCCTATGTCTGCCGGAGAACTGCTGAGGGGTGCTGCTGGGAGTCAGGGTATCCTCAAGTGATATGGGAGTGTCGAGGCATTGGGTGAAGCATGCGAGGCTCTGAATCTCATGCAGGCATTGATAATTATCAGCCCAGATAGCTGAGCCTTTAGGGAGATGTGATACAGTCAGCTCTTACATCCTGCCCATTTAGGGGAGAAAAATTCAGCAATGAGGAGATGCTGCGATTGACAGATCCAAGGAAAATCAGCCAGGTTATTTCTCACAGCAAGAGATGGCTAACTACAGGGATTAGCAGCAGGTCAAGGGAGTGCAAAGAGAGACCCACTACTTTGGAGTGAGGTGTTTGATTCCTCCAGAAAAAGGTTATGAAGTCATTTAAAGAAAGAAAGGAAGGAAAACAAACCTAAGAAATATGAAAGACAATTCATGGCCTTTGAGAGCCCCTCACCAAAAGCTGATGAGGGGTGAGGAACAGCAAAAAAGCAAATGACCACTTCTCTTAATAATTAAATGAAGTGATACTCAATAATTAGAGATAATTTTAACATTTAGAAAAACTCCCAATGAGGTCTTTTGACTGAAAACAGACCCTGCTGTACACTGAGGGAGGGCAGCACTGGCACCCAGCACAGGCAGCTTTGAATTCCCATGTTCAATAACTGTGACTTCCAAGCGAGGTGCCTCAGGGACCAAGTATACACCCATTGCTGCTGCCACTCCTGGTTTGGGCACTGCAATGCACACCCGAGGTGCAGGGATGCACCCAACTGAGGTCAAGTGGCCAGAAGAGAGGACTCCCCCTCCCTTCTTTCCTATTCCTTCTCACTGCATAAATGGTAAAAAAATATCAGTCCTTGGTTTCCATTGTTTGGTCTGGCTCACCATGCCCCAGGAACTGCTGGGAGTACGTCCTCATCATCTCCAGCCACCAGGGCCCCCCCTTCCTCCCTGGGCAGAAGCTCTGCCCAGCTATGGCCAGGGCAGACCAGGAACATCCCTGCCCCCAGCAGCTACAGCTCCTGTGGGCTACTGGAATTCGTCACCTGGTTTGCACCAACTAGACAGCCCCAGAGTCCTCAGTTGCTCCTCACAGGACATTCCTTCTGGTCCTTTTTTGCCCTCCTGTTGTTTAAATGAGACTTTTACAGCAACTAGTAATGAGGCAGAATGATTCCATTCTTCAGTGAGTGAATGCTACAGCTCTGATGAAATATTTTGTGGCCTTCCGTAGAGTGCCATTGTACCTCTATTTCCTGAATTAATATATTTATAATACAAAGAACTTCTCAATGGACTAAATTACTTGATCACCGTGCCATCTGAGGCTGCAGCCACGGCTCCTGGGGTGCATCCCTGCTCCTCTCACTCGGGGCTGGGTTCCAGTTGCTGTCTGTGGTACAGAGATGGGGCAGAAGGAACAGCAGCATCTGAGGGAAAAATTGCTGTTGGAAACCTTTACCTCTGTCAGAAGACTTTGCTGTAAACTATCTGGTGAAACTCCCTGTGGATGAAGTTTGTCTGAATGTCCAAGTCCTTCCTTCAAACACAATCTGTTTCTGATGCTGTGCCAAGCTCCATGTTGTGGCACGTGTTCCAGGCCAGTGACTCTGGCCAGCATGAGCAGTGATAGAAATCTGGGTTCACTACCTCTGATAACAATAAATGAGAATCCCCAAAAGCATATTTCTATGTCTGAGGAGCTCCATGTGCCCTGCATGCACTCCTGCTCCCTGGGCCAGCTGCAGCACGGGCTTTACTGGTAGGGTGCTGGTGAGGCTGTGCACCCTCCATGCCAAGCAATAGGAGGGGCTACAGCGAGACCAGCCAAAAATCATCAGTGAAACATCAGAGCAGCAACGTTGGCTTCTGAGGAGAGACAGGGAGGTGCCTTTTGATGTCCCACACACCCAGGTAACTCCCCTCAGCCCCACGGCTCACAGGTCCGTGTTGGCTGTTGGAAGGTTCCTGGTGGAGCAGATGTTCTGGGAGGCAGTTCCCTTCCTGCACCTGGCCTGCTCCATCCACACCTCCCGGCAGGATGTGGGTGGCAGCACGTGGTCCTGAGCCCGCGGGGCCTTCTGGCAGAGGCACAGCAGCGCCCGGAGCTCCGCGCGGAAGCTCTCGTTCAGCCAGCAGTAGATGAAGGGGTTGTAGCAGGTGCTGCTCATGGCAAACCAGTGCAGGGTGAAATAGAGCCAGTTCTTTGTCTTGATGCCCAGACTGGAGATGAGCACCACGTAGCAGTTGAGAGGGAACCAGCAGACCGCAAAGACCACCACTACCAGCATCAGCATCTTGATGCTCTTCTTCTTGTTCCTGTGGTGGGTGAGGTACTGCTGCGTGGTGACGTCCCCGATGGCATTGCGGAGCCACAGCTTCTTGGCCAGGCGCGTGTAGGTGACGGTGATGATCAGCAGAGGCAGGAGGTAAAGAAGGAGAAATGTAGACAGGTCCAGATACTTCCATACCAGCTCTGTGGGCTCAGGGAAATCAGGGAGGCACAAACTCCGGACAGTGGCTTCCCTTGAAAACAAAGAAATATAGGCCAGATATGGCACGTGGTCTTTGCTGTCAAATGGTGCTGCCGGCTCGGCAAACCACACTGGGGGTCTCATACCACCCATGGCCACCTTTTCAGAGGTGTAGTGTGGACAGTGGGGACAGAGCCTGCAGGCCCTGCCCTCCATGGGTGCACCCACCCTGCTGTACCTCTCAGCAGCCAGGACCCCTTAACCTGCCGAGCCTCCCTAGCACAGGACCCCTTGGCCAGAGCAGAAACTGCTGCAGCAGTGAGAAGCTGAAGTTGTTTTGGAGGAGAGGGAAGGGGCTGCTGGAGGCTGGGAGCTGTGAGAAAGCCTCGCAGGCACAAACAGCCCATCTTCCTTCCCTTCCCTGCCCACCATTCTCTTGCCATCAGCTGCTAAAACCTTACTGCTACCTCTTAAAACAGGTGTGATGATTAGTGACTCGGCTCCAATTGAACCTCTGAGAATTAAATAACAGAAGAACCAAGTGTTACTATGTGCAACTGCTCATTTTAACAACATCCCTTACACCCATCCTGTCCAGCCTGGGGTCCTGGTGCGTTCCCAGTGCCCGGCAGTGGCTCTCAGCCCCAGCACCCTCTGCAGCACCACGTGTTCCCTCCGCACCCCGCAGCTGGCGACTGGGGGTGATGGAACATTAGGAGAAAAGAGCGCTTGCTCTTTTGTTTTCTCCCTTTCTTTCCTTTCCCCCTTCTTTTTCTTTTGCATTCATTTTGTCCTTCTCTTTTCAGTCCTTGTACTCTGCTGTCCTCTATTCAACACAGACTTTAGTCCCCATCAAGTTGCATTATTCTTTGCAGTATTGATTAATATCTTTAATATCCTGTTTTCAACCACTGGAGCTGCCTTTTGTGCCACAAATAGAAGATTGTTGAGAACAGGGGCTGAGGTCGGAGGGGTGTCAATAGGTGCTGGAGCTGATCTCTGCCAAGCATGGAGGAACTGGAGGGCCTGCTTGAGAGTGGGACTAACTCAGGAGGGAAAATCATCTTTTCTGAACTTCAGTCTTGGCTTTTTCTCCACAGATATGGCTCACCACTGGCACAGGTGAGGCCAGACCCTGACTGCAGGCAGCTCTGCCAGCCTGCCTGCCAAAGGGGACCTGCCAAAGCGGGCCAGATAAGACACTGTTTTGGTGAATTCTGATATGACCAAGGGTTCAGACACACTGCTGTGCAGTGCAGCCAGAGAGATGGATGCTGGTGGAGCCCCTTTTCCCCATCCCAGAATCCCAACTGCTCTCTGGTGGGAATCTCAGGAGCCCTGGCCCTGCAGGAGCTATTATAAGCAATATTACAACTGGGATTTTTTTTCAATGGAAAGCAGGGACAGGAATAGCATGTCCTGGAAGTCCTTATATCGCTGAGCTGCCTCATGCCAATGTGGGGCTCAGTTTCCTCCGCCTGTGCCAAAGGATGAGCAGAGACAGGTGCCCAGAAACAGATCATGGCGTTCGTTCATTCATGAGCAATTTGTTCCCTAATCCCCGAGCACAGCTGTGGAGCAACGTGAGCACACAGAAACCCTGCCCGTGTTTACAGTCTGGGCAGTTGGATGTATGATATCCCCTGGGTCTCTCGGTCACATCAGGCACAAGCACAGGCAGGGGAGGGCTGTGAAGCCCCATTCACACTCCCAGCTGGTGCAGCCCCTCGTACACCAGGAGCAGTGACAGTCTGTGCAGGCACTCATGCTCTCCCGCAGGGAGGGACCTGGTTGGGCTGTAACAAACAATATTTGTCTTTAATATGGAAGGTCAATGTCTACAATAGAAATCTCACTCCTGCTGCCTGCCAGTGCCTCCTTGCCCCATTCCCTGGGATGCTGATCTCAGCCTGAAAACATAGGACATGGTAAGATTATCCCCGTGCCCTCAAGAATGACTTTCTGATACCCGCCACAAAAATCCCACTTGGGTACCATTATGGTTTTCTTGCCAGGAGGGGTTACAGCAATGCCACAGGCTGGTGGAGACAGGAGGGACAGAACAGTTTGGGTACCACGGAGGAACAGGGCAAAGAAACCCCAAAGCTCTGGTTCTGTGTTTCTCCCTGGCAGAGGGTGACAGCAGCGACAAATGCCATCCCTGAGCCATTTGTGGGAAGATAAACTGCTGCGCTTTTTTATTAACTTTTTCTTTTTTTCTCTCTAGATCAGAACCTTGAACTCATTCTGACATTGCAGCAGTCCTCATGTGGGTGTGAAATTCTACTTCATCTCCTTTTAATAGCTCCTGTCGCCGTGTTCAGCCAAGCAAAGAGTTCCTTTCCCTTGTGGGGAGGCACGATGGCACACCAGGACAGCTCTGGTTCCGGCCCAAGCACTAGTCCCTGACATGTCTTGCACAGTTATTCCCCAGCCCCACACTGGTTCCCCCTAGTCCTGCACTGCTCAGCCACAGAGGAGGGGGTGAGGGCTTTGCTTTGCTTTTCCCATTTGTGTAACATTGGGCAGAGGAGCCTCAAGTTTCAAGGAAGGTTGGTCCTGATTCATAAATCTGCATGGATGAAATACAGGGAAGCCACAATGTGCAACTCAGTATATGAAGTCCTGGGGACAAGGGGTTGGTGGCCCTGCTGACAAACCAAGGCAGTCCCCTCCTCCTGTTCCCTACAGAGCCTTGTTGATGTCAGTACCAGGTGTTCCCACCATGAGGTTTATTTTCTTTCCTTTCCAAACTGCAGTCTGGCTCTCTCTCTCCTCCCTGCATGAGCGAGTTGGCTGGTCTTGGTCTTGTTCAGTCTGAGGAGCTGAGCAGGCACGAGGAGGGAAGAGGAAAGGCCCTAGGGAGAAAATTACCTTCTCCAGACAGAGTCCCTCCTGGCAGGGCCATGGCTGCACCAGGAAGTGCCCCAGCACGGGGCTGGGAGTGGGACCCAGCCCCTCGTCCGGGTGGTGGGAGGTGGTGAGGGTGATCCCAGGACCGGGGGCTGCGTGTGCCCCCGACAGGCCAGGCAGCACTTGCACAGCCCAGCCTTTGCTGCAGGAAGTGGGATCTCACCCACACACTGACTCCCTCTGATCCCACAGCACCCTGCCCCACGCCTGGGAGCTTCCAGCACCCTCCCTGCTGTGCGGCACTGCACAGGGGCTGCCAGACCTCTGCACACTCACTGGGAAGGGGAGATCACTCACCTGTAGTTATACTGGAAAAGCTTTTGGTAGATGGCATGGGGCAGGGAGAAACAGGTTGCCATCAGCCAGATAACAGAGATGCTCAGCGCTCCCTTCGTCAGGGACATCCTCTGCTTCAGTGGGTTCAGGATGACCTGCAACAGAAACTCCGCCGTGAATCCTCTGCCACAGGGAAGCAAAGCCCCTCCCAGCCCACACGGCTGAGGCAGTTTGTGACCCAACGTAACACAGTTAATCATATGAAAATGATGGCTGCGATTAGGAAAATGTCCTGCTCATTAGAGTGACCTGGAAAATGGGAAATGTTGAATTTCTCAGTCTGTTCAGAAGAACTTTTAAATTTTATCTTTTTCTGTGAGAACTATATTCCTTAAACTGGGGGTTACATTAGGTCAGAAAAAAGAAGATATCTACACAAGTGCCTTCACTCCAGGATATGTTTGTTTATTCTGTATGAACTACATAAAAAATATCTCTTGTTTGAATTGGGCCTGTGAAACTGAGCCCTCCTCCCCTCTGCTGAGGCAGCAACTCACCTGTCACGAAATTTACACTGTTAGATCTTTCAGCTGATAAAATCTGATAGTCTGGAAGTTACTATTTGATGATGGCACAAGAGAGGGGAGTGATTACAAGGGACAAGCTCACGGCCCAGGCTGCCCTCACTGCCCTCACAGACAGCATTTGTCATGGCCGTGGACAGACAGCGAACACGACCTTCTCACAGCTCAAGCCTCCTCCCAGTATTTCCAGCAGAGATTTCCCCTCTGCCACTCCCCTTTTTACTGGTCCAGCATCAGCCCCATGGCTCCACCATGGGACATTGGTCTCAGAATTTAACTCCATCTGCCCTGCAGCTTGATGACACAGCAAATGCCCAATGGTGAAAGAAGAGTAAAAGAACAAATAGACAACTAAATCACAATTTGAGCTGAGGATGCCTCACACTGGTGTTCTATGGGCTTTGGGTGTTAAACAAAATACCTTGAAGAAGTTTCTGCACAGCCAAAGTAGCACTTGGTGCTCAGTGCTGGCTCTCTGCCTTTCCAGGGCCTGCACACAAGATGAAGCCGCTGGAATCAGTTACCCTGCCATACCTGGAGCTAGGCTGGACCTAGCTCTCTTCAGACTGGGTGGAAAAGGTGTCCTCACCGTTTTTAGCTGGAAATCTGGGAGCACCCTGTGAAACCCATGATGCCATTTTGTTCCTTCACTTCTGCCCCATATTCGGGAACCCACAGAAGTCCATCAATCCTTCCAGCCCCCCCCCGGCACACGAGGGGTGGCTCTGAGTGAAGCTCTAGAGCCTTCTCACTGGAGAGGGGTTGAATCCCCAAATTCATCTACCTTGGGCCCATGGCTCGACCAAGATTGAGGGGGAATTGGGAAGGTCTTGGAAGGGAGGAGGGGGTGGGTGATGTCACCTGGTGCCTGTCGAGAGCGATGGCTGTCAGGGTCAGTGTGGAGACGTGCAGGGAGCAGTACTGCACGAAGCGGCTGATGTGGCACATGGCCTTCCCAAAGATCCATGTGCTGTTCACAAACCGGACCTGAGGGGAAACAACAACTCATCAGCCAGAAAACATGCTGAAAACAAATCCATGGGGAAATCCCTTGGGTGGCACCTGAGCTGGTTCAGGGGCTCTGGCTGGTAGGAAACCTTCACCTGAAAACCAAAGAAAGATCAGCTACGCTGGGCTCTACCTTTACAGAAGAATTTAGAAGGTCAAACCCCACAGATTATGGGGTGGTGCTGCTGCAGCCTTCCTGGCCTGTTCTGGCCATTATGTGTGAACAGTGGTAATAACTTTTTATTACATTAACAACTATATTTGGAAAAAGTGCACCAAGGTTTGGTATCAACTGTCAGGTCTGGAGAGCTTTCACTGAAGCCTTTACCCATCTGGCAGCTCTGAAAGGCTCAGCTACTTTCTTCCAGTCACCTCATATGACTGGTATTTGGGCTGTTCTGCCCTACTAAGGGACTCTCTAGTGCACATTGAAAGCACATGTTCACCAAGGTACCTGTTCTCATTCCCTGAGAAGCTCTTACTGGGGTTTGGTGGCACACATGAAGAAACTTAAGAGTCTCTAGGAGATACAGAGACCAACAGAGAAAAGGGACCCCACAGGTTTCTGAACAGTGTTTTACTTGCTTGGTAGAGTTGTCTATTAGACTTGGTGGTGTTGGGTTCCCACCTCAGCCCTAGGAGAGCATGCACAGAGAGGCTGTGACCACCAGGCAGAGTTCTAAAGGGCGGGAGACTCCCCTTGTGGCTGAAGGGATAGCACAGCCAGCCACTTACCAGAGTGAAAGGTGTGTTGAGCAGGGTGATCATGATGTCAGACACAGCCAGATTGACGATGAAGAGGCTGGTGGCTGAGTGCATCCTCTTGTTCTTCAGCACCACGTGGCACACCAGCATGTTCCCAAAGAGAGACATGACGATAATAACTGAGTACGCCACGATCAGGAGAGCTTTCATGGTTGGTTTCTGGGATTCTGGCTCATATTTGGCCAGCTCGGCAAATTTCTCCCACTCAGTAACACGGCTGTCTGTCCAGTTGAAGGTGGTCCTGTTGATTGCTTGGTAGATGGACATGAGTTGGGTTAGGGAAGAGTAATGGTCCAACTCCTCCAGCAATCTCATCACCTGTGACCTGTATGGCTGAAGCAGCAAGCAAGGCATGGTGGGTTAACCCCAGTCTTTCCTCTGCTTGAGGTCACTGGGATCACGGCTCCAGCTGACAGCACGTGATCCATCAGCTTCAGCTCCTTGGTTGTCCAGGAGATGGTGAAGATGCAGCTGCCATTGCAAACACCACCCTAAAACAGAAAGCTGGGGGAGCCTCTGAGGTACAATGGGTTTCTTGGGGACGGGGGTTTCCTGGCACTGGCAAGACGTTCCAGTGGCGTCTCACAAAGAGGTTGGTTTGGGACTTCACACTCTCAGCACCTTCTTATATCAGGAAGAGCAAGAGCTTCACAGGTGAGCTGGAAAGAAGAACTAGTCGTGACATACAGCAAATGTGGAAAAATCTCAGGTGGAGTTTGAAGTTGTTTTAATTTGACATCAGCTTTTTGTCTTTGTTCTTACCTGAGTTCATTTCTCCTCCAAGTTCCATGGAAGGCTGCACTATCGGTGTTTTCACCCTCTACTTCAAACCACCCAGTTCTTTTCTGTTGAAATGTAAAAGCAGAGACATTTGGGGATCATTTTTGAGAGCAGAGGCAGCTTTTGTCTGCACCTAATCCCAGCAATTAGTCTAAAACTATTCAGAGCCTAGAAATCACATTAGAAGTTGACTTTAGTCTCTCTCTTATTTTCTCCTCCAAATGATGGCTGAATTCTGCTTCCAGTGACTGAGTTGTAGTGGGGAAATGGTCTTTCCTGCAGAAGGTGAGACTTAGCAGTAGAGGCACGGAACTGGTGGAGGAGCCACTTCACAGCATAAAACCCAACCCACACAGCGCTCAACACACCAGAACAATTCCCCAGAGACAAAAATCTCCACTCCCTCACCACTACTGATAACAATTTTTAGATATCTCTAGTGATTTTAGGTGGTATTGGTCTATTGATGTAAGATGGAGCCTATTAGCTGTGCACATGGGTATTTACAGACAGTTCATGTGCAGAAGACATTTGGTAAGAGGCTCTGGGGGGCTCTCAGAGAGTGTGGCTGCTTGGTTCAGTGCTTGCCTTTCCCACTGAGCCCTGAGGCTCTGGTACAAATCAAGAGACCTCATACAGTGCAAAGGATTGATAAGCAGAGCTTTCAGAGCCATAAAAGGCTCCCAGGTTCCTCCCCCCATGGGGAACTGGGAGGGTACCCAGGGAAGCCACTCCCTGCATGGCAGTGGGGGCCAGAAGCTGACATCCCATGGACCCCAAACCAATGTGCTGCAAATACCATCAAGAGTTGGAGCTCAGCCCTTTTCTGATGGAAAAAAGGTGTTGGGGAGAATGTTTGTACCTGTATTCCCATAACAATCCCCCCTTGACTTGCCTTACTCCAGGGAAGGCTGTGGATGCTGGAGGACTCATAAGCAAGGACTCATATGTCTCATAAGCAAGTGGATGTTAAGGCAACTTTCTGGGGTGGAAGGAAGGAGGAATCATCCAGGAGACAGAGAGAAGAACACATTTTGGAAAGAGGCTGTGGCTGTCCTCTGGTCACATTTATGAGTGAAAGAAGCCTGGGTAGGATGGAGTGTGGCAAACTCTGGCAGATTTGGCTAGAGATGCTGTAGCACAGCTGGCAACTCAGCTCCTTGTTCTCCTAGTGCTGATGGGACTGAGAGTATCAACACCAGACCTAGACCAGGTCCCAATCCAACCCTCTCACTGGACATGGATCTGAGGAGCTGTCATGAAATGGGGAGCAGAGCTGAAAAAAGGGAAAGGGACTGTTCACCTTGTTTTACAAACAGTGGTTGGCACACGGGACTTGTTGCAGTGAAACACCTCTGAGGTTCAGAGCTTGGCAGGAGTCAGAAGGGTACTTCATGATTACACAGGTACAAGGGAGTCCAGAACTACATCCCTCTGGGTTGTTGGGATGGGGCACAGACGGCCTCCCCACTCCACTGAGGGCCTCAAGAGACCTACCAGGTTTGTCCCTCACCTGGGTACAGCCTGCAGGACCCTACGCCTCGTTATTGTCTGCTGTGCTCTATCTGGAGGATGTCATTATGGCACACAGCAGGGCTCTGGGCAGCGAGGGAGACCCTAAGGGAATGCAACAGGTCTGTAACCAAAACCATTATTTTCGTCAGCTCCAGAGGAACCACTTTCATCTTCGAATGAACACAGCTGGGATATTCATGCTACACTGGAATGTCACTCCTGAGCTCGCAAGAGGGTGCTGAGGTGTGATAGACACAGCCACCTACTGCCTTCTCTGCATGAGTTCACCTCAGGTTCTCATGTGGAAACTTCTCCTTGCTGCCATGAGACAGGGTTGAGTTTCAAGACCCTGCTAAGATCCATGGGTCCATCAGACCTGCAGTCTGTGTGCTTCAGACTGGGGGACAGCCAGCAGAAACCTTGTACCAATTATTCAATTTTGAAAAACCAAACAGGTTTTCTCACATGCCAATTGAGAGCCCATTCCTCAAGCACCACCCGTAGGACCTGCACTCTTGAGTAGCTTACAGCAATCGAGGAACCATGGCCTAAAATGTGGCTGACAAATGGGGATGTCCCTTCTTCCTCCCTACGTAGAGCCACTTCTCTTGTGCCTGTGCCCAAGTCTCTCTACAATCAAATAAAAAATCTTACCCATCTAAAAATTAAATGAACAGTTTTCAGGGGATCAGTCTCCTGACCTGAACCATGGCACAGCTGAGACTTGCTTTTTTCAGGGAAGGTCGTAGGAACAAATGCCCGAAGAGAACAGAAGAGCTTAAGATGCTGGAGCTACAATCTGATTTTCTAACATGAAATTTCTTCTCAGACCTTTCTAGACCCTGTAAGATGTGACTTTCAGTAACTGTAGAACCAGTCAGTGTTGGCTGCTGCCTTGGACAAGACCCCAGAGAGAATTTGCCTCTTTCCCTGAGGAAGGGTGAATTTAAACACAGGTTATCCTGATGAGTTGAAATGCTGCAGTTTCATGCAATTAGAGAGTCTCCCTCTCGGTTTTTACAACTTGATATAATCTGAAGGACCAGAGAAGAAAAGCCTACCTTGGTTCATCTTCTCCCAGCTCCTCCAGGCTCAAGCAGGCTGCCAGACCACCCCGTGCTGCTGCTGCAGGAATTTCTTCCCAATGCAGAAACACTCACCTTTAGCTCTAGCAAATCCAAAGATGTCTTTCCAGCAACATTGTGAATTCTGAATAGAAACCAATGCTTCACTCCCTGGACTGGATAAACCCATACATGACATACATTACAGCACCCATTACACACCAGTTCCCCGCACGCCCCAACGACAAGAAGAAACCAAACTCCCCTCCCTCACCCTTAGTGCCCTCCCCAGTTCTTACCCTTTACCCTCACCCTCACCCCCTCACTTACCTCCCACCGTACGGTCGTTGTCGTCCCCCTGCGCTCAGCAGCGGCTCCTTCGGCTCCCTGCACTGCGTTCCCTGCACCGCACACTCGGCACCGCACACCCCGCACCGCACACCCCGCACCGCACACCCCCTGCACCGCACACCCCCTGCACCGCACACCCCGCACCGCACACCCCGCACCGCACACCCCCCGCACCGCACACCCCGCACCCCGCACGTGCCGCCGCTCGGGGCGGGGTTCGGGGACGGGGCCGCTCCATTCATGAACAGCCTCGGGCGCGGCCCCGCAGCCCCCGCCGGTACCGGGGGTTATTACCGGGGGTTGATCAGCGCTGGGCTTTCCCGTCCGCCCGGACCCTCCCCGCGGGCACCCGCAGAGCGGCCCCCGAGGGGTCCCAGCGCCCATCACCGGGAGCGGAGCACGGAGCATCCGTGCTTGCAGAGACCCCGGCAGTGCGTTAGCGGGAAAAGGGGAAAACCATCTTCACAAACCTCTCCCGACCCGAATCTCCCGGTGGAGTCTCAACACTTCTTCTTTGATAAGTGTTTTTCCCACGGCTGGATCCCTCTTGGCAGACGCTGACACAGAAACACAAAAATAAAGGCAGTTAAGGTTTCGAAGATTTTAGACAGTATATTTTTAAACTAGATATTATCAACCTTCTCATTTTGCATCCCGCATGCATCACTCGTTCCTTATTAAAAAAATAAAAAAAGGAAGAAAGAAGGGTGTTTTCACATCCATGATCTCCTGCCCCCGTCCATGCTTCTGTTCCCACTGTCCAAGTCTTGCCTAGCACCTCTGTGGCCATGCCATGCAGGACAGAAGTAGGGGAGCAGCTACGGGATGGGGAACGCATGAGAGGGACACAGGACACAGAGCACATGTCTCTTGCCAGACTCCAAATTCTGTGTCTGGGTAAGAAGGTCCCACATTGATGTGTGGAGCCAAGAATTCACATCAATTTCAAGTCCAAGGTTTAACAGCCCAATCCAGTTCAATAAGAAGCTCCAGTCTCCTGCTTGCTCCAATAATAACAGCACTTCTATTTTCCAAATTATCTAATTATTGCTAATTCCAATTAATGATGCACTTCAAAGCGTCATTCACAAGAGCCCTGATGTCTGTCCTAGTCTCCTGCATTTGTAGCCTCTATCAGGGCAAATAAACCATTGATGAGAGTTTGAAGGTTGGGCTTTTCCCACTTTGGGGTCTGTTTGCTATGGAGCAGAATAGGCATCCCAGCTCACACTGTGCCAGCCAGAGGCTCTTGGAGAGACCAGCAAAGATCCTCCCTGTAAGCAGCAGAAAAAGAATCCAGACAGAGACAGGAATCCCTTCTGTGGGAGGAAAGATTTGTATAGTTGGTGTGTGTTTCTCCAAGGAACTGGCTCTTTGCTCAGAATTTCGTATTTATGAATTCCCAGTTCTAGGAGCTGCTCCAGTTCATGGCTGGGTCGGAACCCCAGTTTCTTTCAGCAGAAGTAGAACGAGCCTTGCTTTTGCTCTCTGGGGTTTCTTGCCCAAGGGCTGCAGGAAGGACACACTTGACATTTATTTTTGCAGTAGCAAGATGATCTGGGAGGTTTATGCTTTTTTTTTTACTTCCCCTGAAGCTATTCTCACTGCAGCTGTGAGATTGTCATGTATCTGAAGAGCCATTTCATTATCCTCCCATAGTGTTCCTGCCTGGTACACATCATCCCTGGCTTTAGAGCTGCAAGCTCAGAAAAGGAAAGCTACAACTTTAGTCTAATCACATTTCCAGCAAAATGCGAGGCATGCTTTCTCCAGGTGCAAATTATCTAACCACAGGTATGTGCTAGAATCTCCTGAAAGACTCAGGCACTCAGTGGCTGAGGATTTAAGACTTGATTCCTTACACAGCAATAATTCTGACCAGCCTCTCCTACCCCTGGACACCCAATGGAGCTGCCAGTCTCTGACTGATGTTTGTCTGGTTTTCATCCATCAGAAAACACTTTAGGAGCAGGAATGGCTGTATTGTGGAATAAAATTATTACAGTTTTCTGCTTGTTTTTCTTGGGCAAAATTCCAGTTACCTGCCTGTCTCTGCAGAGACTTCGTAGGCTGGAGGTATTAAAGGCATTCAGTATCTTTCCTTCTTGTGTCTTACTCTTAAATGTCAGAGGGTGTCTTTGTTTCCTGGAGGGCTGGATGCCCTCTGGACAGAAGAATTAATAACAGTGCAGATACACCAGCACCAGAAGCTTTGGAATGGGGGAGCTGCAGAACAGCTCCTTTTGCTCTCGGGGTGAGAAGGTACAGCTGAGGCCCTGAAATATTTATTACCAAGCCTCACACTACCTGTGCTGCCCAGTGTGCACAGCTGGACTGTGTGTGGGTCACTCCTGGGTTATAAGCCAGCTCGGGTTTGCCTGTGGCAGCAGGAGGGTGGGAGCTTTGGCCCCAGGCTCTGCCTCTGGCTGTCCCAGCCCAGCCCAGCCCAGCTCAGCCAGCGCTGCTGGAGCAGAGCCCTCGGCAGCCGAGCACAGACACGCCAGATTTCTAAACAACTTTGCACATCTAAACCAGAAACTACAACCATATTTTAAATTCTTCTGCCAATTTAAGCCAGATTAAAATTCAGGGGGCAGGAACTGGGAAGTGCGATAATCTTCCAGTGACACCAAGGCCTGATTTCCCCAGGGTCAGAGTATGATCTGGCATTAGCTGCCACCAACATGAGAACAGTGCTTTCACACACTGTGTTTCAGACCAGAGCCTGCCATTAGCATGTGTTTTAACTGGTTCTGAGATTCAGCACAGGCAGTGGGTGGAGGAGCAAGTTGTCCAAAATGGGCTTCAATAGGAGAAATGAGAAAAGAGCAACATTGCCATTGCAATTGCATTTGACATTCTGTGAACAGTTACAATTTAGACTTTGTTATTCAAAATACAAATGGCAAGTACATAATAGCTACTAATAGTGGAACTTCAGGATGACTGGAAAAGAAAAGCTTTAAAAGGATTTGATAGTCCTCAAGCTTCAGCTGTAAGGTTTGTGTGACAGAACAAAGAGAACTAATCTGCCATTCTGCCATTGTAACTGTGCACTCTCCCTGCACTAATGGACCTTGTCTAGTGACCCACTGGGGCTGGATCTTCAACTTTAATTTTTTATTTTATTCTTGGGGGTTTTTTTCCTCCTTGGAGTCATACAGCATAACTGACAGCACACTCAGTTCCTGCCCAAGTGCTGGCCCCCTGATTTCCAATGGGATGTGAAACCCCAGGAGGTAACAGCAACAGGCAGCTCCTACCTGTGTTGTCCTACCAGCTCCGAGTGCTCCAGCCTGGCCACAGTTTGGGCCCACAACCTCTGCCCTCTGGGTCAGAGCAGTCCATCCATGTGAGAATCCGACTCCTCCATGTGCATCATCCTTTGCTGTAGTGGACTCTCCATTCCAGAAGCCTCCGAGCCTTGAACACCCCTTAGGGTCTGTTTTCTTCTTAAGAGGTTCTTTTTTAGCTCTTCTCTCCCTCTGTGTAGGAATCAGGACTGAAAACAAACAAACTAACAAACAAAACAAACAAACTTGGTTTCCTTAACAGAAAACTCTCAGCTAGTGAAAAAGACGTGGAAGAGAGTAGAAGGGGTAAGTTCCTCCCTATGTGTGATGTGCACAGAGCTGTTATTGGGGACATTCATTCTTCATCCCTGCCTGGATCTCACTCTGGGGGGCATCAATCAGAGCTGCTGTGAGCTCACCTGCAGAGGTACAGGAACAGTGAGCAGAGACACCCCCACATCCAGGTGGGAGCACACACAGCCCACGCTTACACCTCCACTGCACTGAGCTCACAAGGAGCCCTCTTGCCTTTGATGAACAGTTCAAACCTCCTTCCCCTCTCCCAGTCTCTGAACCCAGCCCACCTGCGAGCACATCACTGGTTGGAGGCCAGAGAGCTGGAGATCCACAGGCAGGAGTTTGAAGGTGTCTGGAGCAGAGGCCAGCAAGACAGCAGACACCACACAGACCCTGTCATGAGCTCAGGAAGCAAAGCCTGAGATGTGGGTGCATTTGACAAGGTGAGGAAGACTCAGGCAGCACCTCACCATGTGCCGTTCGTTCCCTGGCTTTCAAGAAATGGCCTCCTGGAACGGCTCATTATCACTGTTCCTTTCCAAGGCCCAATTAATTTAAGGCATGACGGGTTTGCTGGGATGACTCACACACTAAAGGAAGGGAGGAATGAAGGAAGACAAGACTTTAAGAGTAGTGGTTAAATGTGCATTTACTTCAAAACTCTGACCCATTGTGCAGTTCTGATCAAAGGAAGAGAATTGATGAAGGCAGGGGTCACCTGAGCCATCAAGGGACAGTCATGCAGAGGCTGACAGCAGCTGCAGCATCCTGTCAAGCTCTAGCTGGGGCCATCACCCACCAGGGCCCTGATTTGGGGACCTCTGTGTGTGGCAAATGTGTCTGTGCAGCTGTTGAGGGATGTGTCAGTTCAGAAAGCCTCTGAGCTGTGGAACTCTGGTGAAAGGTCACCCACTCAGCTGGAAGGATCCCCCATGGATCCTAGGAAGATTCTCTCAGGATCCACTTGTTTGATCACCTTTTGGATGAAGAAGGAGTAGTTCAGCCACCAGCAGCATTGGTGACCTGTACTTTCCTGTGTCACCCCTGGCAGTGACTCCTGGCCAGGGGTGCAGCTCTGCCAAGCAGCCCAGGGTAGAGGATGGAGGGTGCTGAGGCTCTATTGGGTTCCTCACCAGCAGAAGGGTCCAACAGCTGCTCATGGGGATGATGAGGGGGACCAGGGGCAAGAGCCTCAGCAAAGCTGAGCTGCAGTTGGTGCTGCAGGGTCCCAGTAGGGTCCCAG